TTTATAACCATATATGCTCATACATCCCACGTTCATCACACAATATCACTTTTCACTTATGATAGTATACACTTATATACACTTCACTTTATATGTATAATGGCACACAACTTGTTGTGACGTCACTGCCTCAGCAGACCTACAACTGCCACCTTCCCTTATTGTATATTTTATTTTTCCTTTCTCTTTTTTTTTTACCTTTTTCCCTCTCACTGTATGGTGCCCCACATTACACTTGTTAACCAAACACTGGTTATTCTTGAACTCCCGCTTTCACACTCGCTTTGATCTTTGTATATTTGAATCTGTGTGGCAACAGTGCCTAGTAGACCCACAACGGTTTGTCACTTTGAAATATTACTGATTCCAGGCTTCCTTTGGACTTGTTTTAATTAATAACTTTGGTTATCACTCGTAGGATTGTTCACTGACGTTGTCACTACCACTGATTACTGCTAGCAGTTGTTGCACGCCTTAAAACACTAAGGTTCTTGGAGCCTTGTGCCCCCACGTCTGCACGGGATACCTGACCTGACTTGTGTGTGTGTGTGTGTGTGTGTGTGTGTGTGTGTGTGTGTGTGTGTGTGTGTGTGTGTGTGTGTACTCACCTAGTTGTAGGCACCTAGTTAAGGTTGCAAGGGTCGAGTTCAAGCTCCTGGCCCCGCCTCTTCACTGGTTGCTACTAGGTCACTCTCCCTGAACCGTGAGCTTTATCATACCTCTGCTTAAAGCTATGTATGGATCCTGTGTGTGTAGGTGTGCATGCTTGTGTGTATGCATATATTTGTATGCTCGTGTATATGTGTCTGTGTGTGCGCCCTTGTGTGCGTATGTGTGCGCGCGCTCCTGTGGGTATATGACCCACTTAATATTTGTATTTATAACTCATTACAATTGTGACCAGGTGTGGACATATCAGTGGCTCATTACTTTGTAATTTGTTCATGACTGTAACCATGTATAGGAGTGAGGCTGATTCATTACCTTTGTAACTTTCCATGATTGTGACCAGATCTACCTGGAGTTCATTACCTTTGTAACTAGTTCAGCACCTTTGTAACTAGTTCAGCTATCATAACTTTGGGGTCCAGTCCCTGGACCTATTATGTACCTCAGTAATCTTTTGACTACCGCCCACAGGATGGATATGGGGCAACTACCACCCACAAGATGGGTATGGGGCAACTATCACCCACAGGATGGGTATGGGGCAACTACCACCCACAGGATGGGTATGGGGCAACTATCACCCACAGGATGGGTATGGGGCAACTTCCACCCACAGGATGGGTATGGGGCAACTACCACCCACAGGATGGGTATGGGGCAACTACCACCCACAGGATGGGTATGGGGCAACTACCACCCACAGGATGGGTATGGGGCAACTACCACCCACAGGATGGGTAAGGGGCAACTACCACCCACAGAATGGGTATGGGGCAACTACCACCCACAGGATGGGTATGGGGCAACTACCACCCACAGGATGGGTATGGGGCAACTACCACCCACAGAATGGGTATGGGGCAACTACCACCCACAGGATGGGTATGGGGCAACTACCACCCACAGGATGGGTAAGGGGCAACTACCACCCACAGGATGGGTAAGGGGCAACTACCACCCACAGAATGGGTATGGGGCAACTACCGCCCACAGGATTGGTATGGGGCAACTACCGCCCACAGGATGGGTATGGGGCAACTACCGCCCACAGGATGGGTATGGGGCAACTACCGCCCACAGGATGGGTATGGGGCAACTACCGCCCACAGGATGGGTATGGGCAACTACCGCCCACAGGATGGGTATGGGGCAACTACCGCCCACAGGATGGGTATGGGGCAACTACCGCCCACAGGATGGGTATGGGGCAACTACCGCCCACAGGATGGGTATGGGGCAACTACCGCCCACAGGATGGGTATGGGGCAACTACCGCCCACAGGATGGGTATGGGGCAACTACCGCCCACAGGATGGGTATGGGGGTGCATAATAAACATACTAAACTAACTGAGACACTTATGCAACATATCGGAATTTTTGTTGAAGAAACGTTTCTTCAATAAAGATTCCCATATGTTGCATAAGTGTCTCAATTCTCTACACATATGTTATGCATGACAATTATCATAGATTATAATCCACGAAACTGTATTTGTGTATACCTGAATAAACTTAACTTACACCTGAATAAACTTACTTATGTTGTAGCCGGACGGCAAGAATTACGTTTTCTTTAGTCCGACACCAGAGAAGCCTTGTACTGGGGTTACTATAAAAAAACTTCTTTCACATGCCCTCCCTCATAGCATCATTCGCAGGATTTTTCAACTACTCCTGTGCATCATTCTACTGCTAACAAGTGAGTTCATAATCTGTGTTAATGAATGTATAAGTAGAAGAACCCAGATATTGAAAGAGGGAGATTTTTGGGAGATAACCACTGCGAGGAACCAGCCTCCAGCCGACTTCTCTTGTGTTACTCTAGGCAAGGGTAGTAAATGCCTTATATTTTCTTTTATTATTATAACACAAATAATACCTGTATATTGTATGATTAGAGTCTTTAGGTAAGACACATATGCAACAGTTAGGTATCTTTATTTCGAAACTTTTCGCCTATACAGTAGGCGAAAAGTTTCATGTATCATGACATTAAATTAATGGAGGTAACCCCAGACAGTATGTTAAAGCAAGGAATTGTGGGGGTGGTAGTTCTAGTATCAGTAAGCATGTTCTGCTATAATATTGAGGACCATCCTAAGATTTTATATGTATTTGCTGCTGGTAATTTTTTTTTCTTTGGTTTCAAACATTTCAGATTCTTTTGTAATGTGTTTATTAAATTTTAAGTGGTTTTATCCGGGTATGTCTTACTTCCCCCTTTGAGCCATGTATATAAGGTCCATTTGTCAGAGATTAAATTGAATAACATATTGATATTTTTTTGGAGGGTCAAGCTCCTGATAAGGTGTCTACTGTTCAATTTTCAGGTCAAACTACCCTTAGAGCCAGTACTTATCAGGATCACTACCCTGTTATAGCTATCGTGTACTATTTCTCATTGGGGGGGGGGAAAGGGGTTCCTGCTCTAACCCAAAATCCGTGTCTCCCTTTCTCCTTTGGACTACAGCAACTTTTTTTTTTATCTCTTCCACTATTAAAAGAGCAGGTGGTGGCAGCATACTTCTGAGAGAATAGAGTGCTACCGTCTCAAATCCTACTCATTTCCCGTTCTTATTTGTTTCCCCTATTTCCAGTCTTTTGTCCACTCCGAGTCTCTGCCTGAGCGAACAGATAATATGGAATCGTCTGGTGCTCTGTCGACCCTATGGTGGGACTGGGGTGGGAGCTGCGTTTCATGAGTTCCATACTGGTTCTGCATACTACAATATTCTACAATATACTACAATATTCTACAATATACTACAATATACTACAATATAGGCCTGACAACTGTGTACATTCTTGAATGACTCCTCACTAAGATAACATAACACTATGTATGTTTCAATAAACTCACGTTAGACATAAACAGAAACATGTGAAGAGCAGCAGCAGTATATTGCAGCTTTTATCTGAGACCATCTAAACTTTTGCGTTTATGTCTTCTGTGGTATTACTTAAACAATGACAAGTGTTTATGTCCACTATGGTATTACTTAAACAATGACAAGTGTTTATGTCCGCTATGGTATTGCTTAAACAATGACAAGTGTTTATGTCCACTATGGTATTACTTAACAATGACAAGTGTTTATGTCCGCTATGGTATTAAACAATGACAAGTGTTTATGTCCGCTATGGTATTACTTAAACAATGACAAGTGTTTATGTCAGGTATGGTATTACTTAAATAATAACAAGTGTTTATTTATGTATTCTTAAAAATGAAATTTATTATTCATATGGTATTACTTAATAATACAAGTGTTGATTAAATCAAGATTCCAGAACCTTATTACATTATTCATATATTTTATTTGGCATATACATGTAGTTTGAGTGCACAGGAAAAGCTTGTATGCAGAGCATTATGAGCATTATGAGCATTATGAGCATTATGAGCATTATGAGCATTATGAGCAAGCTTAAAATTAAAATTAACAAGCAATGAAAGGTTCAGTGTTAAAAATTACAGTAAACAATTTACAATATGAAGTACAATTGAGTATTTGAAACAAAGAAATTTGAACATATCGATACTGAAGCATTATAGTTGTACAGATTTGTTACATTACAATGTATAACAAAAGATGATCAATTTACTATATGTTGTCTTTAAGTAATTGGGAGAATTATTGGTAATGTTAAATAATGAGTGTTGATTATTTAGTCCTGGGTGAGTAAGTGTTTTTTAGAAGAGTCTTAAATTGATTCTCAGGCCTGGTTACTTTAGTATGTTCTGGTAATGAATTCCAGATTTTGAGGCCCTTTATGTGCATAGAGTTTTTGCACAGTGTGATATGGACACAGGGTACATCAAAAAGAGATCTGTGTCTTGTGTTATGGTCCTGTCTCCTTATAAAGTTGGTGAGGAGAAGTTTGAGTGGAGAGTATATGTTTTCGTGTATTGTTCTATGTATGTAGGAGGCACATGAATAAGTATAGATGTTCTTCATAGTGAGCAAATTTAGACGTCTGAATAGAGGTGGAGTATGCTGTCGCGAGTGGGAATTTGTTATCATTCTGATTGCAGCCTTTTGCTGGGTTAGTAGTGGTCTTAGGTGATTTAATGTTGTTGATCCCCACGCACAAATTCCATATGAGATATAAGGGTATATGAGTGAATGATACAGTGCAAGGAGAGCTGATTGTGGAACATAGTACCGTATCTTTGATAGTATGCCTACTGTCTTAGAGATTTTCTTGGAAACTTGTTGTATATATGTCTGGAATTTGAGGCTACTGTCAAGGTGGATTCACAGGAACAGTAACAAAATTATTTATAACAAAGTGAAAATAATAACAGTGAAAAGTTAAGTTACTAACCTGGATCTTTACTGAACTTGTTAGGTATAAACTTTTGTTGGAGAGCAGCCCCAACATAGCCGCTGGCGAGGCTGAGGCCTGCAGCACACACCTCACCCACCTGGCCCTCCAACACAGCCTCTCCAACACTGTTCAACAAGTAGATGCAACAGTTCCTGATGGGGTACCCTGGAAAAAAATATATTATTATTTACAAGCATAATTTTCTGAAGAATGGGTGAGGATGTTACAATACTGGAGGTGGGAAGTACAGTGCTTGTACTCGGAAGGATGGGTGAGGATGTTACAATACTGGAGGTGGGAAGTACAGTGCTTGTACTCGGAAGGATGGGTGAGGATGTTACAATACTGGAGGTGGGAAGTACAGTGCTTGTACTCTGAAGGATGGGTGAGGATGTTACAATACTGGAGGTGGGAAGTACAGTGCTTGTACTCGGAAGGATGGGTGAGGATGTTACAATACTGGAAGTGGGAAGAACAGTGGCTGTACTCTGAAGGATGAGTGACGATGTTACAGTACTGGAGGTGGGAAGTACAGTGGCTGTACTCTGAAGGATGGGGAAGGATATTACAATACTGGAGGTGGGAAGAAGTGCCTGCACTCTGAAGGATGTGTGAGGATGTTACAATACTGGAGGTGGGAAAAAGAGTGTCTGCACTCTTAAGGATGGGTGAGGATGTTACAGTACTATAGGTGGGAAGTACAGTGCCTGTACTTTCAAAGATGGGTGAGGATGTTACAGTGCCGGAAGTGGGAAGTACCGTGCCTGTACTTTGAAGGAAGGGTGAGGATGCTACTGTACCGGAAGTGGGAAGTATAGTGCTGCACTCTGAAGGATTAGTAAGGATGTTACAATGCTGAAGGTGGGAAGTACAGTGCCTGCACTCTGAAGGATGTGTGAGGATGTTACAGTACCGGAAGTGGGAAGTACAGTGCGTGAACTCTGAAGGATGAGTAAGGATATTACAGTATCGGAAGTGGGAAGTACAGTGCCTACACTCTGAAGGATGAGTGAGGATGTTACAGTACTGGAGGTGGGAAGTACAATGTCTGCACTCTGAAGGATGAGTGAGAATGTTACAATACTGGAGGTGGGAAGTACAGTGCTGCACTCTGAAGGATTAGTGAGGATGTTACAATGCTGGAGGTGGGAAGTACAGTGCCTGCATTCTGAAGGATGAGTGAGGATGTTACAGTATGGAAGTGGGAAGTACACTGCCTGCACTCAGGAGGATGAGTGAGGATGTTGCAATACTGGAGGTGTAAAGTACAGTGCCTACACTCTGAAGGATTAGTGAGGATGTTACAATACTGGAGGTGGGAAATACAGTGCTTTTCCTGTGAAGGATGAGTGAGGATGTTGCAATATTGGAAGTGGGAATTACAGTGCCTGCACTCTGAAGGATGAGTATGTTGCAATAATGAAGGTGGGGAGTACAGTGCCTGCACTCGGAAGGATGAGTGAGGATGTTACAATATTGGAAGTGGGAATTACATTGCCTGCACTCTGAAGGATGAGTGAGGATGTTGCAATACTGGAGGTGGAAAGTACAGTGCCTACACTCTGAAGGATGAGTGAGGATGTTACAATACTGGATGTGGGAAATACAGTGCTTTTCCTGTGAAGGATGAGTGAGGATGTTACAGTACTGGAAGTGGTACAGTGCCTGTACTCTGAAGAATGAGTGAGGATGTTACAATACTGGAGGTGGGAAGTACAGTGCCTACACTCTGAAGGATGAGTGAGGATGTTACAGTACTGGAGGTGGGAACTACAGTGCCTGTACTCTGAAGGATGAGTGAGGATGTTACAGTACTGGAGGTGGGAAGTACAATGCTTGTACTCTGAAGGATGGGTGAGGATGTTACAGTACTGGAGGTGGGAAGTACAATGCTTGTACTCTGAAGGATGGGTGAGGATGTTGCAGTACTGGAGGTGGGAAGTACAGTGCTTGTACTCTGAAAGGATGGGTGAAGATGTTACAGTTCTGAAGGTCATTTAACTAGCCTTTGTAACTTCTGTGATATCTGAACAAGCCGAACTCCCTCACTATAATATCCAACTAATGCAATAAAATATAAACAATATATTATATATATTTATTAACATCTCTTAGGAGTGAGGAAGAGCAAGATGTGAATGTAGGAGGAGATGGATGAGGCTGTGCGAGTGTGGGGGAGGTGCGTGAGGCTGTGCGAGTGTGGGGGAGGTGCGTGAGGCTGTGCGAGTGTGGGGAAGGTGCGTGAGGCTGTGCGAGTGTGGGGGGAGGTGCGTGAGGCTGTGCGAATGTGGGGGATTAATGGGATCATGGGAGAAATTTTTGTAGTAGGTGGGGATATAGTTTTGGAGTGGTTTGAACTTTAGTTCAATAAATGTATGAAAGAGGGGAAGGTACCTAGGGACTGGCAGAGAACATGTATAGTTACTTTATATAAAGAGAAGGGAACAAATGAGAGTGTAAAAATTATATAGAAATAAGACTACTGAGTATACCAGATAAAATGTATGGTAGGGTTATTACTGAAAGAATTAAGGGTAAGACGGAGAGCAGGATCACAGATGAACAAGGAGGCTTCAGGAAGGGCAGATGTGTAGACAATGAACAATAAATGAACAATATTTAGATAAACGTAGGGAAGTTTTCATTGTTTTTATTGATTTAGAAAATGCAGATGTTTCAAGGCTATTTAATAGGTGGTGAATTACTAAATGCTTTAAAGAGTGTTTATGAGGATAGTGAGGATCAGCTTAGGGTGTGTAGGAGAGAGGAAAATTACTTTCCATTAAAGGTAGGTCTTCGACAGGGATGTGTAATGCCATCATGGTTGTTTAACATATTTATAAATGGGGTTGTAAAAGAAGTAAATGCTAGGGTGTTGAGGAGACTGTTGCATTAATATATGCGAAATCTAATACAAAATGGGAGTTGGAACAGTTACTCTTTTTGCTGATGACACTGTGCTTTTGGGAGATTCTGAAAAGAAGTTACAAAAGTTGCCAGACAAGTTTGGGAGGGTGTATAAAGGAAGGAAATTGAGAGTGAACATAAATAAGAGTAAGATGGTGAGGGTATTACGTTAGTTAGGTAATAAAAAATTGGATATCAGATTGGAAGAAAGGAGTATGGAAGAAGTGAATGTGTTCAGATATTTGGGAGTTGACGTGTCGGCAGATAGGTATATGAAAGACGAGGAGAACCATAGAACTGATGAAGGAAAAAAGGTGAGTGGTGTATTGAGATGTCTGTGGAGACACAGAACATTATTCATGGAGGCAAAGAGGGAAATGTATGAGTGAATAGTCGTACCAACACTTTTATATGGGAGTGAAGCATAGTGTGTGAATGATGCAGCGAGGACGAGGAGGCTGGAGGTGGTGGAGATGTTGTGTCTGAGGGCAATGTGAGGTATTATGCAGCGAATTCGCAGTATGGAGATTACAAGGAGGTGCGCAGTTACTAAAAGTATTATCCAGAGGGCTGATGAGAGGTTGTTGAGGTGGTTTGGGCATTTACAGAGAATGAAGCAAAACAGGATGACTTGAAGGATGTATAAATCTTTAGTGGAGGGAAGGCTGGGTAGAGATAGAAGTTGTACTAGCAAAGGTTGGATGAAAAGGGGTAAAGGAGGTTTAGTGTGCAAGGGGCTTGGACATACAGTAGGCATGTGGGAGAGTGTCAGACAGGAATGGAGACAAATAGATTTTGGGACTTGAGCTGCTAAAATGTGAGCAAGGTAATGTTTTGTGAAAGGATTCAGGGAAACTACTTAGCAGGACATTAGTGAAGGTGGAAAGTAGAATGTCTGCACTATAAAGGATGGGTTTGGGATATTTGGTATTTAGAATGACATCTAAACTGCGTGCCTCTGGTAAGACAGTGATAATGTGAATAATGGTGAAAGTGTTTCATAGGAGACGGCCGATGTGTTAAAATAAATTATATGGAAGAAAGAAAAAGGTTTAACAAGAGTTGGAGCAGAATAACAAGTGTTGAGGCAGAGTAACAAATGTTGAGGCAGAATAACAAGCATTGAGGCAGAATAACAAGTGGTGAGGCAGAGTAACAAGTGTTGAGGCAGAGTAGCAAGTGTTGAGGCAGAGAAGCTAGTGTTGAGGCAGAGTAACAAGTGTTGAGGCAGAGTAACAAGTGTTGAGGCAGAATAACAAGTGTTGAGGCAGAGTAACAAGTGTTGAGGCAGAGTAACAAGTGTTGAGGCAGAGTAGCAAGTGTTGAGGCAGAGTAGCAAGTGTTGAGGCAGAGTAACAAGTGTTGAGGCAGAGTAACAAGTGTTGAGGCAGAGTAACAAGTGTTGAGGAAGAGTAACAAGTGTTGAGGCAGAGTAACAAGTGTTGAGGCAGAACAACAAGTGTTGAGGCAGAATAACAAGTGTTGAGGCAGAGTAACAAGTGTTGAGGCAGAGTAGCAAGCGTTGAGGCAGAGTAACAAGTGTATGTGGCCAGAGTAACAAGTGTTGAGGCAGAGTAGCAAGTGTTGAGTCGAGAGTCAACAAGTGTTGAGGCAGAAGTAACAAGTGTTGAGGCAGAGTAACAAGTGTTGAGGCAGAGTAGCAAAATGTTGAGGCAGAAGTAACAAGGTTGAGGCAGAGTAACAAGTGTTGAGGCAGAGTAACAAGTGTTGAGGCAGAGTAACAAAGTGTTGAGGCAGAATAACAAGTGTTGAGGCAGAGTAAACAAGTGTTGAGGCATGAGTAACAAGTGTTGAGGCAGAGTAACAAGTGTTTGAGGCAAGAGTAACAAGTGTTGAGGCAGAGTAACAAGTGTTGAGGCAGAGTAACAAGTGCTGAGGCAGAGTAACAAGTGTTGAGGCAGAGTAGAAAGTGTTGAGGCAGAGTAGCAAGTGTTGAGGCAGAGTAACAAGTGTTGAGGCAAGTGTAACAATGTTGAGGCAGAGAAACAAGTGTTGAGGCAGAGTAACAAGTGTTGAGGCAGAATGACAAGTGTTGAGGCAGAGTAACAAGTGATGAGGCAGAGTAACAAGTGTTGAGGCAGAGTAGCAAGTGTTGAGGAGAGTAGCAAGTGTTGAGGCAGAGTAGCAAGTGCTGAGGCAGAATAACAAGTGTTGAGGCAGAGTAAAAAGTGTTGAGGCAGAGTAGCAAGTGTTGAGGCAGAGTAACAAGTGTTGAGGCAGAGTAGCAAGTGTTGAGGCAGAGTAACAAGTGTTGAGGCAGAATAGCAAGTGTTGAGGCAGAATAACAAGTGTTGAGGCAGAGTAACAAGTGCTGAGGTAGGAGTATCAAGTGTTGAGGCAGAGTAACAATGTGTTGAGGCAGAGTAAACAAGTGTTGAGGCAGAGTAACAAGTGTTGAGGAAGAGTAACAAGTGTTGAGGCAGAGTAACAAGCGTTGAGGCAGAATAACAAGCGTTGAGGCAGAGTAACAAGTGTTGAGGCAGAGTAGCAAATGTTGAGGCAGAGTAACAAGCGTTGAGGCAGAGTAATAAGTGTTGAGGCAGAGTAGCAAGTGTTGAGGCAGAGTAGCAAGTGTTGAGGCAGAGTAACAAGTGTTGAGGAAGAGTAACAAGTGTTGAGGCAGAGTAACAAGTGTTGAGGCAGAGTAACAAGTGTTGAGGCAGAGTAGCAAGTGTTGAGGCAGAGTAACAAGTGTTGATTCAGAGTAACAAGTGTTGAGGCAGAGCAACAAGTGTTGAGGCAGAGTAACAAGTGTTGAGGCAGAGTAACAAGTGTTGAGGCAGAGTAGCAAGTGTTGAGGCAGAGTAGCAAGTGTTGAGGCAGAGTAACAAGTGTTGAGGCAGAGTAACAAGTGTTGAGGCAGAGTAACAAGTGTTGAGGCAGAGTAACAAGTGTTGAAGCAGAGTAACAAGTGTTTAGGCAGAGTAACAATTGTTGAGGCAGAGTAACAAGTGTTGAGGCAGAGTAACAAGTGTTGAGGCAGAGTAACAAGTGTTGAGGCAGAGTAGCAAGTGTTGAGGCAGAGTAACAAGTGTTGAGGCAGAGTAACAAGTGTTGAGGCAGAGTAACAAGTGTTGAGGCAGAGTAACAAGTGTTGAGGCAGAATAACAAGTGTTGAGGCAGAACAACAAGTGTTGAGGCAGAGTAACAAGTGTTGAGGCAGAGTAACACGTGTTGAGGCAGAGTAACAAGTGTTGAGGCAGAGATAACACGTGTTGAGGCAGAGAAACAAGTGTTGAGGCAGAGTAAACAAGTGTTGAGGCAGAGTAACAAGTGTTGAGGCAGAGTAACAAGTGTTGAGGCAGAGTAACAAGTGCTGAGGCAGAGTAACAAGTGTTGAGGCAGAGTAACAAGTGTTGAGGCAGAGTAACAAGTGTTGAGGCAGAGTAACAAGTGTTCAAGCAGAGTAACAAGTGTTTAGGCAGAGTAACAATTGTTGAGGCAGAGTAACAAGTGTTGAGGCAGAGTAACAAGTGTTGAGGCAGAGTAACAAGTGTTGAGGCAGAGTAGCAAGTGTTGAGGCAGAGTAACAAGTGTTGAGGCAGAGTAACAAGTGTTGAGGCAGCGTAACAAGTTTTGAGGCAGAGTAGCAAGTGTTGAGGCAGAATAACAAGTGTTGAGGCAGAACAACAAGTGTTGAGGCAGAGTAAACAAGTGTTGAGGCAGAGTAACACGTGTTGAGGCAGAGTAACAAGTGTTGAGGCAGAGTAACACGTGTTGAGGCAGAGTAACAAGTGTTGAGGCAGAGTAACAAGTGTTGAGGCAGAGTAACAAGTGTTGAGGCAGAGTAAAAGTAACAAGTGTGAGGCAGAGTAACAAGTGCTGAGGCAGAGTAACAAGTGTTGAGGCAGAGTAACAAGTGTTGAGGCAGAGTATCAAGTGTTGAGGCAGAGTAACAAGTGTTGAGGCAGAGTAACAAGTGTTGAGGCAGAGTAACAAGTGTTGAGGCAGAGTAGCAAGTGTTGAGGCAGAGTAACAAGTGTTGAGGCAGAGTAACAAGTGTTGAGGCAGAGTAACAAGTGTTGAGGCAGAGTAACAAGTGCTGAGGCAGAGTAACAAGTGTTAAGGCAGAGTAACAAGTGTTGAGGCAGAGTAACAAGTGTTGAGGCAGAGTAACAAGTGTTGAAGCAGAGTAACAAGTGTTGAGGCAGAGTAACACGTGTTGAGGCAGAGTAACAAGTGTTGAGGCAGAGTAACAAGTGTTGAGGCAGAGTAACACGTGTTGAGGCAGAATAACAAGTGTTGAGGCAGAGTAACACGTGTTGAGGCAGAGTAACAAGTGTTGAGGCAGAGTAACACGTGTTGAGGCAGAGTAACAAGTGTTGAGGCAGAGTAACAAGTGTTGAGGCAGAGTAACAAGTGTTGAGGCAGAGTAACAAGTGTTGAGGCAGAGTAACAAGTGTGTTTGAGGCAGTAGTAACACGTGTTGAGGCAGAGTAACAAGTGTTGAAGCAGAGTAACAAGTGTTGAGGCAGAGTAACACGTGTTGAGGCAGAGTAACAAGTGTTGAGGCAGAGTAACAAGTGTTGAGGCAGAGTAAACAAGTGTAGAGGCGAGAGTAACAAGTGTTGAGGCAGAGTAACACGTGTTGAGGCAGAGTAACAAGTGTTGAAGCAGAGTAACAAGTGTTGAGGCAGAGTAACACGTGTTGAGGCAGAGTAACAAGTGTTGAGGCAGAGTAACAAGTGTTTAAGCAGAGTAACAAGTGTAGAGGCAGAGTAACAAGTGTTGAGGCAGAGTAACACGTATTGAGGCAGAGTAACAAGTGTTGAGGCAGAGTAACACGTGTTGAGGCAGAGTAACACGTGTTGAGGCAGAGTAACAAGTGTTGAGGCAAAGTAACAAGTGTTGAGGCAGAGTAACAAGTGTTGAGGCAGTGTAGCAAGTGTTGAGGCAGAGTAACAAGTGTTGAGGCAGAGTAACAAGTGTTGAGGCAGAGTAACATGTGTTGGGGCGGAAACACGTGTTGAGCAGAATAAAAAGTGTTGAGGCAGAGAAAACAGTGTTGAGGAGGTAACAAGTGTTGAGGCAGAGAAAACAAGTGCGAGGCGGTAAACCGTTTTTGAGGCAGAGAAACCGTGTTGAGGAAGAGTAACAAGGTTGAGGAAGGTAGCAAGTGTTGGGGCAAAAAAACGGGGTTTTGAGGCGGTATCAAGGTTGGGGCAGGTAACGTGTTTGAGGGTAATTTTTTTTAAATCTTCCGGTTTTTTCTGTTTTACAAACAGAACTGTATATTTTTTTTTTTGGGTTTTAAAGGGCTATGAAATTAGACCACAGACAGGAGTTTGTTATCTGGACCCTCCGGGTATATTCTTGTCTGTGGTATAAATTAACCCCTCCACATACTCTTCATAAACCCTCCAGCACCGTTGCCTCCCCATGACAGTCTCCGGTTGATCCCCCTTGCCTAAATTTCCCTTTCCCGTGTCATAGGTCTCCTGGAGGGTTTTGGGGATCAAATTCCCTTGGGGCCCGGGGCCATAACCACCCCTCAGGTGGATCGGGGCTTGATCACTAGGTTGTTATGCTGGCCCCACTTTGTCCAATGTATGATCCACAGCCGGCTGATCTGGCACTGATTTTTGGTATTGTCCAGTCCCTTTGAGGTAGAGGAGTCTATTGGTAAGCCCCCTTAAGGTGGTGGGAGGCTGTTGTCTTGGCCCAGAATAAAAAATTTTTTTTCTGTTAGTGTACTAATGGCGCCCCTATTTTTCCTTTTCCTGTGCAGAAAGGACCAGTCCCCCCTGGGGTTTTTTCAAGAAAGGCGGGTTGTTTGGCAGGCTGGTGGGACCCGGATAGAGAAAGGGGTTCTGGCAGGGGGGTGATAAGCATAGAGAAGGGTTGTTTGCGGTGGGGTGCCCCAGGCTAGGAAAGGGGTTTGTTCTGGAGGCGGGGGGTGACCGGGCTAGAGAAAGGGGCTGTTCTGGGGGCTGGGGTGATCGAATCGGAAAGGGTTTTTTGGCGGCTGGGGTGATCAGATGAGAAGGGTTGTTCTGAGGCGGGGGTGCCCCAGGTTTGAGCAAGGGTTGTTCGGGCAGGTGGGGTGATCCAGGCTAGAGCAAGGGTTGTTCGGCAGGCTGGGGTGATCAGTAGTGCCCAAAGTGAGAGTAGAAAGTGTGGAGCAGTGAAAGGTTTTGAGACATATAACAAGTAATGAGGCATGAAAAAAGGGGTTTAAGGATGAAAGAAGTTTTGGGCATGTAACAAGTGTGAGGCAGTTTAAAAAAGTATTGAGGCTAGTAAAAAGTATTAAGCAGTGTAACAAGTTTGAGGGTGTAAGAAGTGTTGGGGAGTGTAAAAGTACTGAAGCAGTGTTGGGGCAGTTTTTGAAATACTGGCGTGTTAGGCAGTGCAATAAAAGATGCAACCTATAATGGCATAAGTGAAATACATAAGATATAACCGGAAAAAATTTCTGGAAAAGGGCCTATGATGGGTCAATAGACCAAACCCACGACAGTGCTCATTTTTCATTCTTATTTTGTTTGCCTTGTTCGGGTTTTATATGCTTACTTACTTAAAGATTGATAGATTGAACAATGACTCAGGTTGAGGGGATGTTCCTCACGTCCTTCTCATTTCCCCCTTTCACCTCGTACCAGACAAGGAAGCACTTGTTGGCAAAAATTTTCCCGTAGCAAAGATTCCCAAATGTTGCAAAATGTTTTAATTCTTCAATTTTGATTTTTTGTAAATCTTTACATCAAAAGGGTTTTTATAAACCAATGGGAACTTTGTATAACGAGCTTGGCACGCGTCGATGTTGCACAACTCTAGGTAGTCAGTCGCCCATCATTTCCGTTTGAACAAAAAAAGTACAGATGGTTGCAAAAAAGTAAGTGGTAAATAGTTTTCCATTGTGGGAAGTCTCGGTTAGTGAGGTGTTGCGATCCGGAAAAAATAAAGGTTCCCATCCTTCCCCAGATCCCCCCTCTTCCCCTCCAGTCCAGGGTTGTCCTCTGACAAGCTTAGCACTTCCCCTAAAATAATAATTATTGGTATAATTCATCTCTTGCTTTATGTGCAGAAAATTAAAATATGTAGTTCATGTAAAAAGACTTACACAAATGAGTAGTTTATGAGTGTGGTTTCTAAATTATTTTACAATTTATTCGGATATGTTAACTCTCATTTGGCTGCCTCCCAACAATGTCCCCGGTGCTAAGGGGTTTTAAATGTCAATAGGGTACCCGTCGTTAATCAGTACCCTACTATCATTTGGTCAATAAAGGCAAGCCCCCAAAGCTGAAACGGGGTGGTTCACTTGTGGTAAAGCTTGACAGATTGCCTATTTGTGGTTGGCACGGTGCACTTCTCTTGGCCTAGCCTCTTTTTGTCCCTGTGGTACATTACTACTCAGCCTCTGAAATAGTGTACATAAGTTCAATATTTGTATTATGGGAAATTATTCTGGCGAAGGAAATATGTCAAAAATTTTGCTGGTTTGTCCCTTTTAAACCCTTTACGACCAGGTCGAGGCCATACTTCCCTGTGTTCGAATTTAATAAAGATAGAACATGTGGCGCAGTTCACTAAAAAGTTGAAATTTCATAAGTAAGTGTAGTTCCCCCGGCCATGTGTGAAGGTGTTGAAGAAGGGTGTAGCAAGTCTCTGGGAAAACTTCCCCGGAACACCCCAAACCTGGCAAAAAAAAAGTTAACAAGGAAACATAGAAAAGAACATAGTGACAAAACAATATGGAAGCATATTGCAACAGAAAACTAAACAAAAAAGCGAGGACGGATATGGCAGTTTTTGTGGGAGTCTGGTCGCGACCCTTGATCAGTTTAGACTTGAACAATGTGCCTTCTGACCCCCACCCCCCTCACCCCATGACCACCCCACACTCACCTCATGACCCCACCACCACTCACCTATGACCCCCCACCTACCTCAGACCACCACATTCACTCATGACAACCCCCCACTCATGACCACAACCCTACCTCATGACCCCACCCCCCCTCATGATAACCACCCCCCACTCACCTCATGACCACAACCACTCACCTCTGACCACAACCCCTCACCCATGACACCACCACCACTCACTCTGCCCCCCCACCCTACCTATGACCCCCACCACCCCTCCCCTTGACCACCACCACCCCTCACCCCTGGCCACCCAACCCCTACCCCTTACCACCCCATCACCTCATGCCCCCCACCACTACCTCATGGACCACCACCACCCAATCACCTCGACCCCCAAACCTCACCTTGGGGCCCCCACCCCCACTCAACTATGACCCCACCCCCCTCCCTCAGACCCCACCACCCCTCCCCTCAGACCCCCACCCCCACCTCATGACACCACCCCACTCACCTCATGACCACCCCAAATCATCTGACCACCACCCCCCTCACCTCATGACCCCCAAACCCGCACTCACCCCATGACCACCCCCACCCCTACCCATGACCACCCCCACCCCTCCCTCAGACACCCCCACTCCTCTGACCACCACCATACATCATGACCACCATTCACTCATGGGCCACCACTCACCTCATGACCCCTACCCCTACCCATGACACAACCACTAACCTATGACCCCCACCACTACCCCATGTAACCCCCCCACTTACCTCGGATACACAACTACCTCATGACCCCCACCCCCCTCATGACCCCACTACCCACCTCATGACCCCACCAAACTTACCTATGATCACCACAACTCACCTTCCACCACCCCCACCTCATGAACACCCTACCCCCCCCTCATGCCACCACCACCACTTACTCATGATACCAAAAACCCCCCTCATGACCCCCACCTCACCCCATGGCCACGATAAATCACCTTTACCCACCACACTCACCTCATGATCACATCCCCCTGATCACCACTACCCCTGACCACCCCTACCTCATGACCCCCCCTCACCTCATGACCACCCATCCCTCCTGACCGCCACTCACTCATGACCACCCTCACCTCATGCCACACCCCTCAAATCATGACCCCACCTCACCTCATGACCCACTACTCTTCACCACTCCCTTATGCCCCCCACCCCTCCTCATGACCACACCATCACCATGACCGCCATCCCTCATGATCATAAATATGGGCCACTACCCTACCCCTGCACACTCACCCCATGCCACCCCCACTCACTCTGACCCCCACCTTCACCCCATGACACCAATCCCCCATGACGCCATCCTCATGACACCCTTCACCCCTTTCACCACTCACCCATGACACCCTACCCCATGACCACCCATCCCTCTTGCCCCCACTCACCTCATGACCCCACTCACCTTGACCACCCCCACCCCATGCCCACTCCCCTTATGATCCCATCACCCTTTTGCCACCACCCTACCCCATGCCCCCACCACTCACCTCATGACCCTCCCTATGACCCCACCATCACCTCATGCACTATACTCTGGCCCCACCATCACCCCATGACCGCCCCTCACATGATCACCACTCACCCCATGACCCACTCACCCCATGACCCCTCACCTCATGACCCACCCCTCACCTAGACCACCCCTCTCCCTCATGGGGCCCCCTCACTAACCTCATGAAACCACCACTATCATGACACCATCACCCCTGAAACCCTACCCCATGACCACCACTCCCCTCATGACCCCCATCCTCATGACGCATCACCTCATGCCCCCTCACCTCATGACCACCCACTCTCCCCATGCCCCCACCCCTACCTCAGACCCACCACTACCTCAGACACCACCATCACCTCATGACCCCCAACCCACCTCAAAACCCCCACCACTCCCTTGCCCCCCCTCCCTATGACCACCCCACCACCTCATGACACCACTCACCCCTGACCCCCACCAATCACCCCGACCACCCCATCACCTATGCACCACCACTGCTCTGACCCCCACCATCACCTCTTACCACCACCACCTCTGCACCCGTTTTACCCTTGCACCCCACCACTACCTAAGCCCCACCACCACCCCATGGAACCACTCAATGTTTCCCCCCCCCCCCCCTCAGCCCACCACTCCCCCTCGACCCCCCTCCCTCGACCCCCCATTAATAAAACACTCAGTTTTCTCTTTGTGTGTATTAATGAAATATTGTTGGTGAAACTCCTGGGGGATGAAAATCATGGGGGTGAAACTCATGGTGGATGAAACGTCATTGGTGGTGAAACGACTGGGGATGAAAACGTCACGGTGGATGAAAAACGTCATGGTGAATGAAAAGCATGGTGAGAACGTTCTGGTGAATGAAACATACTGGTTTTTTGTGTCCAGGGGGGTTTTGTGGGGTTTGGGGGAACTAATTTAACAATTTTTGGCCCCTTCCCTTGGAAAAACGTCGTGCCACCCGTCTGGGGTCTTTGTTCTTGCGCCTCAGCCCTAGGGCAGGCCCCCCAAAGTGGTTGTGGAGGGGCTTGGACCACCATAAGCCCAAAGGGAAGAGCTGAGTAGGGAGATTCGAGCGGAGCTGTGTTGGGGGTGCAGAGCTCCTGGGGGAGACTTTTTTGGGAGTGTGGGTGGGGTGAGGGCTCGGGAAAAAAGGCCCCGAAGTCTTGGAGGAGAATGTTGGGGCTTGGGCAGAGTACTGGTTGGCGCAGACTTGTGCTGTGTGGGTCTTGGGACCGTGGCTTGTTCCTTGATGAACTCCCCCTTGAATTATTGAAGTTTTTTCTGTTTTGCCAAGCAAATTTGTTTTCCCTGTCTCACTGCTTTTGTGTACCACCCCATTTATCTAAAAAAAAATTTTTAAATGTTCTCTTGCCCAAAAATAATTTTTGTACAAAAAAATTAATTAAAACGGGGGTTTGATAGGTAAATTTCACTGTCCCCGTTTTTGCTTTTCCTATTTCTTTTATTTTTTATGTTATATATGGTGAAGAGGGGCGGGATTGTTAGTGAGTAGTGTAGGTAATGGGTGTCGTGGGGGTCACCAGCCCGTCATTACCTACCTCCTCGTAATCATCTAATCCTCCCCCCGCCTGCCTCTCCCTGCCTACAAAATCCCTTTACTCCCTTTTCCCAATATATCGATACGTTCCATATCCCCCCTACATGACATGGGATTTAGGGGTAGGGAAGTGGAAGGAATATTTTGGGAATTTTTAAAATGTTGATAAAGATAGGGAGTGTGATTTCGTATATAGGGAAGGGAAAAAAATTTGTGGAGTGATGAAGAGCCATTCGTGAGTTGTTAGGGGAAGTTCGTGAGGCAGTTAGTAAAAATAAAGGGGGTAAGGCAGCCGGGATTGATGCGGATAAGATATGAAATGTAAAAAGCATTGGTTGGGATAAAGTTTTTTGGAGTGTGTTGGTGCGTGGAATTTATTTAAAAATGTATGGAAGAGGGTAAGGTACCTAGGATTGGGATGTGTCAGAGAGCATGCATAGTTCCTTTGTATAAAGGGCAAAGGGGATAAAAGAGGTGCAAAAATTATAGGGGGATAAGTCTGTGAGTGTACCTGGGTAAAGTTGTATGGTAGAGTTATAATTGAAAGAAATAAAGTTAAGACGGAGAATAGGATAGCAGTATGGAAGCAAGGAGGCTTTTAGGAAAGGTAGGGGAGTGTGGACCCAGGTGTTTACAGTGCAACATATAATGACAGTATTTAGATAAAGGCTAAAGAGGTTCATTGTGGCATTTATGGATTTGGAAAAGGCGTATGACAGGGTGGATAGGGGGCAATGTGGCAGATTTGCAAGTAATGGTGTATGAAGGTAGGTTTTTTACTGAAAGCATTGAAGAGTTTTTACG